AAGAATAGTATTATTTTGCACATAAAAAAATAGTGTTAATTTCCCATTTTACCCGTGTAGTGCGGGTAAAATGGGAACTTTGGTTGAGGTAAAATGGGATAAAAAAATTAATGTTAAAAATGGTGAAAAATGTTTTAATACAAAAAGTAGGTAAATCAAAAGTAATTTGTGTAACGTAATAAGAACAAATTTTGAAATGTCAGTTCCGACATAAATCGCAAACAAAGAAATCTTCATTATCTTCGACTCCTATACAGGTATCATGTGTTCAATTTTTACAACTAACACATTGTATCCATCCTTCGCGACGTCCATCTTTTGAATACCTGTTGTTGCAGTAAAAGCATTCCGCATCATCATCGCTTTCTGATGATTCAATGCTCTTTTTTTGTAATTTTTTCATTTTGATTAAAGGCTTTTTAGATTTTTCTTCACTTAGTAAGTTGATGTTTGTTTTTAAAGCTATCTTCTTAACATTAACTTTTTTATTTCTTTCCTTTAAAGAGTTTTCTAATTTTTCCTTATAAGAAGTGCTCGTAAGGATGGCAGCTTTTCCTTTTTTCTATTTGTAGTTTTTCAAATATCAAGCTTACGAACTTTGGGATAAGGAGCAATTTGTTCAGGACTTTTGTCAACCTCGGAACATTTCTTTGGACGAGCCATTATTTGTTTAGGCTTCTTAGACCTCTTGTTGTTAATCCAAACAGCATACCTTTCATGTTCTTAACATACTCGACTAACTGTTGTTTCAATTCAATTGGAAATGTAACCTTTCTACTCCCATGTGATTTAGAAGAACCAATGACATGTTTGTTCTTCTCCTTAAACCTCCTCTCTAAAGTAGATTTTGGCACTCCATACTTTTTTGCAGCTTTTAAATACCCACAAGTGCCGTTTCCTAAGGCCTCTAAAGCTTTAGCCATTGACCACGAATGCCGATCAGTCTTTCTTTTGTAAACGTGTGGCATCTAAAAAAAAATAGAATAAAATAAAGTACGCTCATTTTATTTAGGTAAAACGGGATACCTCATTTTACCCACAATACTAATTTCCCATTTTACCCACACCTGATTTAAAGTATTTAAACTAACCTCAAATTTTTTTGTCACTTTTTAAGCAAATGCTAGAAGAACAATGAAAACCAAGACCATACTCTACAGAAAGATCACTGAAAACGATTGATATATTACTCCTGCTAGCTTTCAGGTCTTAAGATATAACATTAAAAATTTACAATTCCGGTATAAAAAAATGAAAACCATTCACTTCATTAGCCGATGTTGTTCTAATGAATTTCTCTCATTGTCATTAGCCTTTACCCTAGCAACGCGCACAATTCTGACGTCATGGCACGATGTTGCCATATTTAGTTAATCTGTGAGTGGCACTATCCCATTTCACCCACGTATCTCATTTTAGGCAACCTTCCCCTACTAATGTGTATACTTTATTTGCATCAAGTGAGCGCAATATGTCATCGGTGACATCAGCTAAAGCGGTTGAACACCCATATCCACTTCTAAATCCAGATTGAGTTTTAGAAAAATGTCGAATTTTTTATATGCAAATTTAGTTGCTTTTCTAAGAGTTTTTTAAAAATTTTGAAGAGGACTAGAAGAATGCTTATACTTCTTAGTTGATTTAATTCTAGCAGTTGGGAGACTTAGTATTAATTGTTTTTTATTATCATAGTCTACCACATTTTGGACTCTAAAGTTTAATGTTTTCCTATTATTTTACAAAACAATGTAGACGTGTAATACATATATGTAAAGGACATTTTTACCTTTATCTAATGGTATAATAATCAAATATGGACCATAATAGAAACAAAAGTTGTACATCGTATCTCTGAAAAGAAACGAGATACACGCTTAAAATTTGGTGCAAATAATAGAGAACATTTTCAACAAAAAAAAAAAAAGATAAAAGTAAATTTTTCCTAAAACTTTTGACTTATAATGAATTTAAGAAAATATTTCAACACTATCCGTAGATATTTAGGGTTTCTTAGCAGCACTTAAAAGACTTTTTTTCAATTTAACCAACTTGCCATCTTTTACCTTTTAGGACATAGAAATACTATCCTAATGAAAAAGTAAGATCCCTATATAAAAATAGAACAAACAATAAACAAAATAAATATATAACTCTTAAGAGTGAGACTGTGTTGTTCTAATTATATTTTTAAAACATGTAAATGATAGTAAATATCGGAACCACTGCAAATGTTATTGTAGATAGAACGTTGAAAACGTTGGCAATTTTGCATAAATGTTAGTGCGAGGTGTATGAAGGTTGGTTAAGTCTGCTTACAAGTCTAGGAATATGAACATTTAAGTAACTTAATATTTATGTGCAATTAATTTCACCATTCACTAGATTGGAAGCAAATAATATGCAAGAGTACTATTGTCTACGATTAGCCAGCAAAAACAAGGCAAACTTATTGAGAAATAGATTGTTATCAATACCCTGGACAGGATAAGTACGATCAAGCTTAAAAGTGACATACTTAAAAAAATCAAATTGATCGTTGTGAATGTTGTAATATGGACACCAAACCAAAGCAGCATATTTCAAACATATGCAACGTACAGGGTTTTCAGACAAGAAACTGAATTAAAGTCTTTACAATTTCTGAAAATGAAACCTAGCAATCTTCTCGTACTTAAAATTGTTTTTCTGAAAGGCTAAACAACCAGCATCCAAAAAATTCCATTAAGGATCTAAAAAATAACGCTCCATTAAAAAAAAAACATAAAACCCCTTCTAAATAAGTTAGAGTTCTAGAATCATGCATTTTAAAATTATGACGGTGGTTTAGAAGATTTCTCAAATTTGAAAATTATCGATATCCTCTTTCTTTTGCTCAATTGGAAAATATGTACCACGGAACCAAATCTGATTTAACTTGTTACCTTGATAATTACATAACAAGTGTAAATAAACACACCGCAGTGTTGATGCTGCTCTTGTGTACATTCTTCAACCCAAAGCTTGTTCAATTTATAACCAATATTTATCAAATGTTATATAACCTTATTTGCTAAATATTTTAAAGAGTAGGTTTATTATAGGATTCTTAACTACAAAACAGTTTAAAGGAACACACAAGAGAATATAGGAGAAAACGCAATTTAGGGACACTACAGCCATTCCAAAAAATTGGTAAGAATGCTTTGGCACTGCATATTTAGGGTTGCCATATTTCCGGAAGTAAAAAGCGTGGAAAACGTGAAGATAGAGCATTTTTATATAATAGGTTCAAATTTTGTGACCATTTCTAAAAAAAAAAGGTCCTTAGCTTATTCTTCATGTCGAACATGAACATTTTTATATAATCAATCTGAACATTTCTAAAAAGAAAAAAAAAGTTCTCAACTTATTTTTCGTACAACAAAGGTCTTTTGCCCAGTCTATTTTTGTATAAATCCGATTTCTCTGCGGCTTTTAAAAAGCGTGGAATTTGCATAAAAAGCGTGCAGGCAAGTCAAAAAGCGTGGCTGCCACGCCAGAAGCGTCACGTATGGCAGCCCTATGCATATTAAACGATGTATTTTCTAGCAGGATTTGTTTGGGGTAAATAGCATCCAAAATTTTGTAAATGTAAAACTTGTGGCTCAAAATGTAAAAGCTTTTTTAAAAATTTAAAATGCACTAGGCTATGCTTGTGTGTAGAATGTTGCAATTAATTTAAGGTATGAAATATGTAAAGGGTTGCACTAGATTTTTTATATTATATGGTTTTAATTGTTTCTGTAAATACCTTTGACATTAAAAATTGTTAAAAAATGTATTTACTTTTATGCTCTTGATTATTTTTTAAAATGTTATTTATCCGCGCACATACAATAAATTAAATGAATCCTATTTTAAGAGAATATAATCCAAAATATTGATTTTTAGGCATTCCTCTTACTCAGCTACTTTTTCTGTACGTTCCATTGGTAGGTTTTTTAAAAGATAAGAAAAAAGGTTATATTATACCAATCGATAGAGAAAACTCTAACCTAAAATTTTTTATCTTTTATTTTTTTAAATAGTTTTAAACAGTGGCGGCTCGTGGCCAAAATTTTGGGGATTCACAGTGACAGAATATAGGTATCAGTACAGATGTATGAAAAAAACTGTCAGTGTTTTAGAAAGTTTATAATACACCTTTCTAAAACATTAACAGTTTTTTACCTTCATCTGTACCGAGAGCTATATTCTGCTACTGTGAACCCCCACAATGTTGGTCACGAGCCGCCCCTGGTTTCAAACATGTGTGTTAGTGATTAAACCCCCACCATTTTTTGTTCCTGTGGGGTGCCTTGAATACAAAAACAAAAATTAAGTCATAGCCATTATGCAGAACTCTGCGCTCTATCGAATGACACTAAAACGACGTTACTATCTCTTACCGTTTTAATAAATAAAAATTAAAACAATTCACCAATTAAATTTGAGAGATCTGTTCAAAAATCTACTTAAGTTGATATCCTCTATTCATTCCACAAAGGATTTGCTTCTACTTAAAAACCGAAGTATGAAACCTTCAAATCACTATACTGTTATAAAAATTGTTCAATATGGCCTCCAAATTCTTGAGCGCACTCTAAAATGTCTGGATTACCATGACTTCTATCAATTTTTGTAAATGTCCTATGATTCGGCACCTGACCTTTATCATCCAACAATTTCTTTCACAAAATCCGAGTACCATAATCCGAGTTCGCCATAAGAATAGGTTGATAAACAAGAAATTCAAACAAAAACTTGTAACCATGATTATTTGAAATCCGTGGTAACTATGAGTACTTTGATAGTTTTTTTACTTTTGGTACATCGAGTTAATAGCACTGTAAAATGATTTTATCGTATCACACTAATGGTTTTGATTATTGATTAGATTATAAAGTAGATACAGGATATTATATATATAACAATATTTTGCATGATATGAAGACTTATCTCATTACAAGTTTAGTGCTTTATTCAATTTCCATCATTTTAAAATGAGTAACATCGAAAATGCGAAAAAAAGTAAGTATCCGACTTTGATTTGCATTAAAACATTTTTTTGTTTCAAATTTTTTAATTCTGAAAATAATTCTTTGTTATGCATACTGATAAAATAAAACAACTGATAATTTTGTTCTTTTAGTCTCAGTACAATCAATGTCGTCAGATAAATTTAAAATGGCACGAGACGCAGGGAAAACTGAAAGACCACCAAACGATAATTTCTTGCTTGTACGGATGACTTGCTTTTTACTGGGTTTCATGAATCTCGCACCTCTTTTGTTTGCTAGTACTGCTTCTGGGGTAAGTAAACTATTTTTTTCTTTTTCGCAGTTTTGATCTCAAACTTAACTTTTCTCAATCTATTTGTAAAAAATTAATAATGAAAAAATAAATATATAAGTCTATATAAGCCTAACAATAACCATATGGTTATACACAAGGGCGATAAGACCCATGATAACTTATGGCGCAGTGACGTGAGTAATCAAAACGGCGCGTAGACCTGGCTAAAATCATAGACCAAGTTAAAATTGTTTACAATAAAAAACAACAAACAGGCCTAGTGGCATTGGACTTAGAAAGGGCATTCGACACAATGTGGAAGGACAGTCTAATATATAAAATGATTAGGGACAACTACTCACTATACCTAACAAACTTCATACATTCTCACATGAAAAATAGAGAAGCTTCAACATTAAAATAAAAACCGAAAATTTCATTATTGAACATGTCCTGCCACAGGGCAGTGCATTATCACCAACATTATTTAATATATTCACAAATGATATACTTTCTAATCCATTCACACAAATAGCCTTGTTTGCAGACGAAAATTTCATTATAGAAGAGGGCCTGCCACAGGGCAGTGCACTATCACCAACATTATTTAGTATATTCACAAATGATATACTTTCTAATCCATTTACACAAATAGCCTTGTTTGCAGACGAAAATTTCATTATAGAAGAGGGCCTGCCACAGGGCAGTGCACTATCACCAACATTATTTAATATATTCACAAATGATATACTTTCTAATCCATTCACACAAATAGCCTTGTTTGCAGACGAAAATTTCATTATAGAAGAGGGCCTGCCACAGGGCAGTACACTATCACCAACATTATTTAATATATTCACAAATGATATACTTTCTAATCTATTCACCCAAATAGCCTTGTTTGCAGACGAAAATTTCATTATAGAAGAGAGCCTGCCACAGGGTAGTGCACTATCACCAACATTATTTAATATATTCACAAATGATATCCTTTCTAATCCATTCACACAAATAGCCTTGTTTGCAGACGAAAATTTCATTATAGAAGAGGGCCTGCCACAGGACAGTGCACTATCACCAACATTATTTAATATATTCACAAATGATATACTTTCTAATCCATTCACACAAATAGCCTGGTTTGCAGACGAAAATGTCATTATAGAAGAGAGCCTGCCACAGGGTAGTGCACTATCACCTACATTATTTAATATATTCACAAATTATATACTTTCTAATCCATTTACATAAATAGCCTCGTTTGCAGACGACCTGTCAATATTTACAACAGCTAAATTAAATAGAACTATAAAGAGTAAACGAGAAAATTATCTAAAAGATATCATCAAATATTATAAAAAGTAGAGGCTAAAACTAAATACCGAAAAAACACAAATTATAAATTTCAGTCATAGAAAAACACAAAAAATTAAAATTAAAATTGAATATCAAGAAATAGAGGAAACAAACTGTGTAAAATACCTAGGAATCCAAATGGACCAAAAAGTTTTATTCACAAAAAATGTTAACTACATGAGGAAAAAAACATTTGCAGCAAGGAGGTTTATCTACCCCTACATAGTAAAAACAAACCCACTCAACAAAAAATTAAAGAAACAACTTTATAAAGCATATATCTGGCCGATCCTCACATACGGTGCACCAGTGTGGAATTCTACTTGCAAAACAAACCATAAAAAATACTGGGAACATACATACATACATACATACATACATACATACATACATACATACATACATACATACATACATACATACATACATACATACATACATACATACATACATACATACATACATACATACATACATACATACATACATACATACATACATACATACATACATACATACATACATACATACATACATACATACATACATACATACATACATACATACATACATACATACATACATACATACATACATACATACATACATACATACATACATACATACATACATACATACATACATACATACATACATACATACATACATACATACATACATACATACATACATACATACATACATACATACATACATACATACATACATACATACATACATACATACATACATACATACATACATACATACATACATACATACATACATACATACATACATACATACATACATACATACATACATACATACATACATACATACATACATACATACATACATACATACATACATACATACATACATACATACATACATACATACATACATACATACATACATACATACATACATACATACATACATACATACATACATACATACATACATACATACATACATACATACATACATACATACATACATACATACATACATACATACATACATACATACATACATACATACATACATACATACATACATACATACATACATACATACATACATACATACATACATACATACATACATACATACATACATACATACATACATACATACATACATACATACATACATACATACATACATACATACATACATACATACATACATACATACATACATACATACATACATACATACATACATACATACATACATACATACATACATACATACATACATACATACATACATACATACATACATACATACATACATACATACATACATACATACATACATACATACATACATATATACATATATACATACATACATACATACATACATACATACATATATACATATATACATACATACATACATACATACATACATACATACATACATACATACATACATACATACATACATACATACATACATACATACATACATACATACATACATACATACATACATACATACATACATACATACATACATACATACATACATACATACATACATACATACATACATACATACATACATACATACATACATACATACATACATACATACATACAGAACAATTTCGGGGGCCCAAAAAGGGACAACGAACGCCGAAATCAAAGAAGAACTAGATTACGAACCCCTAGAAGAAATACTGGAAAATTTGACAAAAAAATTATTTAAGAAAACAGTGGAAAGGTCACCCCTAACCAGGCAAATAGGACAACAAACCTAGAACCAGTTAAATTTCAGAGTACGACACAGAATGATTAACTACTGGGTCCAAAACATGCCTCAAGAGGCATAATTACACCCCCAAATCAGACGTAAGGGCGCAGATGAGAGAAGTCCTAACATAAAAACCCAAGAAACAAAGAAATGTCATGCAGAAATGGCTAAATATTATTAATATTAATAATAATAATTATAATAATAAAAATAATAATAATAGATATTACTCACAGATAGGACAGTAGAACATAATAGAGCAGACATAACAATTGTCAACAAACGGGACAAAATAGCTTACCTGGTAGATATATCAATACAAAACAACAACAATATGGACACAAAAATAAAAGAAAAAATAGACAAATACCTACCGGTATGTCGAGAAATCAAGTTATCTCGCTTATTATATCTGCTATGGGACTGGTGAAGGCCTGTAAAAACACACCAATAACTATCAAGCTACAAAATAATAATAATAATAATAATAGTAATAATAATATATAATGCAACAGACCAACTCACCGGCATTTAGCGGCTCGTTTGTCTGAGTGCCTCTGGGGCCATGCGTACTGCGCCAACTGCAGCAATGGAGGTACTACTAAACTTCACGCAACTGCACATCTTCATACAAGGAGAAACCAGATCCGTTATTTACTATCTAATGCAGGGGCAAACCTCAATAAGCCAATCATACAAGGCTATATCAGCAAGTAAAAAAAGGAAAAGATTCTAGGCCTACTTATATAGCCATAACCAGATACAAATTTGAAAGAAACTTTTAAATTTAAATGCCAGCCCGAGAATCCTGGAAACAGAGACTTTCCGTACAGGCTGAACTCGTTATACAAGCGCTTTAAAAACCAAGGAAGGAACCGTTGGTGGAGTCTATGGGCTCAAGTCAAAAACACTGAGTCTAGAAGAATATTTAACAGCGTTCTAGGCTGAAATAATAGCCATACAATACTGTGCAAGAGAAATAATGTCAGCAAGAATCAGGCCACCAACTCTGATATCCAAACATCTCTAAAGTTAATTCTCTCATCAGATATCAAATCACGACTGGCCTAGAAGACCTGGCAAAGCTAAGTGGTAAAAACAATATGACCTTAGCATGGGTGCCAGGCCCGAGAAGGCTCAGATAAGGCCATGACAGGCCAATAACCCTTCTGTGGAGTTTCTAAGGCATTGTGCATGGCATCCATTAAAAATAGACGCAGAGGTAGTCTCAGGAATGGTGGAAAAACTATCCAAGACTGAGTCAGCCCAAACAGTTCATCGGCCACATTCACGAAATACCTACTGGATCAAAAACGACAAATCGTTAGGATACCGGACACTGTCGCCTAAGGAACATAAGTCTCATCAATATAGCCGAAGAAGCAACGTTGTGCAGGTTCTGTGAAGAAGAAGAAACATCAATCCACGTCCTGCGCTAGTGGGAAGGCTAGGCTAGATTGAGGTTTCTAACATTAGGTGAAAAAATCTGATGTGTCCAACACATGACTTTCCTATCTAGTTATTATAGGCTTTTTCCGGTTATTTTGTACAACCTATTGCAGCACCTCTATAAATGTTTAGAGGATAAACTAAATATATACATTGTCCACATACATCTACGTCGAAACATTTTTCTATAGATATTCTTTTATAACGAAAATACTGAAAAATTTAATTTCCTACAATTTTTCCATTACGGTCCATTTTATAAAAATCATGTATAAACAAAAATTATAAATATCGATATCGCAAACAATTTTTAGTTCAACAATTTTCATAAAAATCAGAATTTTGCACATTTTGTAAAATTTCTCGAATACGGACCATTTCAGGAAATTTTGACATAAAACAAAAAAAGTAACTTTTATTTGAACAAGTTTCTTCTCCAAACATAAATAACAGATATATTCCATAAAATATAAAAACGGCCTTCAATAAAGTATCCATATGGTATCGGTGAATATCCCCCAGATATCTGGTATGCTGGAACCCGAAAATTTTCCTGACAAAATCGCCAAAAACAACCCTAAAATTATTGTGAAACCAAATTTCACGTTGAAAAAACGACCCACTGAACACCTGGTGCACCAGAACCTGGACGAGGACCTCATTTCCATGAGTTTTCCTCACACAATCGAAAAAGACGAATTGAAAATCGTTATGGGGGTTTTTTGGGGTGCTGAATTCAAATGTGGCATCGGCGAACACCCCCCTGACACCTGGTGCGCCTAAATCAGGACGTGAACGTCATCCCCGAGAATATTTCTGACAAAATCGCCAAAAACCAACCAGAAAATCATTGTAGGGGCGTTTTTTTGGGTGCTTAATTTAAATTTCACGTCGAAAATGACCTTCCGAACACCTAGTGCATCGGAATCTGGCCTTTAACTTTGTCTTCGAAGGTTTTCCTCATACAATCAAAGAAGATGAACCCAAAATCGTTATGAAGAGTTTTTTGGGGCGCTGAATTCGAATTTCACGTCGAAAACGACCCATCGCACTCCAAATGCACCGGAACCTCGGACTGAACGTCGTCTCCGAGGGTTTTCTAGACAAGATGGCAAAAGACTAACCGAATATCGTCTCATAATTTCACACATTTATTGATGTTTAACTCTCGCCTGGGACCTTCGAAAAAGTTGATCCAGTCCTGTAAAATTCTAAATGCCGGGTATGAATAGAGCAATGAGAATAACGAGAATAATCTCAGGCTATATCTCCGAACTTTGCCGAGCGGCCTTTCATTTTTCTCCCAACGCTCGAATCGCTTTTGTGTAAATATACACAGAAACTTTTAACTAAGCAGTGTTACCAGTCTAGTACAATTGTACTTGATCTAGTACATTATTTAAGAATCTGGTACTCTAATACACTCAAGCACAATCTAGTACTTATATTCTTCCTTGTTTGTGTTTTTGTGTTCGTTATGGATAAAAGCTTTTTTTTTGTTTTTTTTTCAATGAGTCAAACTATCACAATTCGAAAAATATGGTACAATTTACACAATCTAGTACATTTTTATGGAATAATTTTTGGGTTGTCCGGAAGCTGTTCGACGATTTGAATTCAGCGACCCAAAAAATGGAGATGACGTTCATCGGTGTTCCTAAGCTCCAGGTCAGCTATGGGTCAATTTAATTTAAACATCATCATAATCGTGATCAGCAGCCTCGAAAACTCCCGGTAACTCGATTTGGGCCAGTTCTGACTCTTATTTACAAAGTTCTTTAATCTTCCAAAAGCCGTCTCAAAAATGCATTTTTTTGAATGCATTTTTGGCTGCAGCAATGCAATTTCCGGTTTGTATAAAAAAAAGGGGGGCATTTTTTCCAAAATATTTTTGGAATGCCAAAAACCGAATTCCGATCCGTCTTAGTCTAAAAAATTCTGAACTTTTTTGCTTCAATGCTTCGACTACTTCATGTAACTATTTCATGTTTTAAATTCGTAATAAAGTATATTTATATTGTAATAGGGTTTATACCCATTTAAATAAAATATAAATCTTTTTAGTATTGGATGTATAAATTTCGGGATCCAAGCATAGATTCGGAAACAACCAAAGGAACAGATAGAACCACATTGCAATCGTATTATCAACCAGTGTCGATGGTAGCTCAGCAAATACCAGCTGTAACAATGTCAGCTCTGATGACAGCGTATGGTCATAAAGTACCTCATATGAAAAGGACCTTAGTGACATTGTTGCTATTCGTTGGAGTGTACCTCTTGTTTACTGTTTTTACGCAAATTGATACGGATTCATGTAAGTAAAATGGAGCCCATAATAAGTAATTTTTTACCATTTTTTGTACCTATGTACTTGCAATGTTATGCTACACAGATTCAAAGATCTATGTTTTGCGTAATAAAAAGTATTTTACTTCAATACTTAGATGTACACTGCCCTCCTAGGACTACGACTTCGTAAAGAAATAAAATTTGCAGTTATGACTAACCTTTGCATATAAGTTTAAGGACCGACTCCACCGTTGTGTTAAACGAAGTTTAAAATGACATTTTTACATTAACAATGTCATTTTAATCTCTGCTTAACACAACGGTGGAATCGGCCCTAAATGATTTATAATGCAGATAGGTCCTTGTATCATATCATAATAAAATAAAATGTAAGTTTATGTGTAAAAATCTGGAAAACGATTTTTTTTAGATACGACTTGTTGTCTTGGTAGGGCAGTATGTTTCTTATTACAACATTGTGTTTCAATTTTAATATGCCTGGAAGCACGATAAGTGTAGAAAATAAACAACTAGTCTGAATTTTGATAAATTTCTTTACTAAGGAGAGAGATACTTTTCATATAATTTTCCTGTGCATTAACGAGTTACAGCATGCTTTAAAAATTAATATTCTTAGTGTCACATACATGCAGGGTGCGCCTCGCTCAAAGGCACAAATATATAACTCAGTTGCGGCTGCAATTTAAAATTTACTTTCATATATACAGGATGTCCAAAACCAACTTTGATAATTGCTGATTTATTTGACATTTTTTTGAAAATGTAGTGTTGTTGAAATTAATTAATTACTCTTTTATTACAAAATAATTAATTAATTAAATTAATTTAACATAATCATTAAAATATTCAACAAATGTATGGGGTGTTTGCAATTTAAAGTTTTATTACACTAAAATGTTTTATTTAATTACTGCGTTATTTTAAATGGCACACTCTGTATTTTATAGTACCATTATGAAGGAAATTTTAATCAATGAATCCACAATAACGCATTTGTGAATAGACATAATTTTCATTATTACCGATCCGAAAATAAACATGAATTTCGAACTGTAGATCGACAAAACAGGTGATTGTTTATGGTGGAACGATAGGAAGACAGTTGGTGGGGCCCTACTGTTTTGATGGCCATTCTATCTATCTAGGTATCTAAATTAGGGAGTGGTTCAAAGCTCACTCGTACTGAAGCTCTAGGCTTATTGTACCCCTCATAGTTTCTACCCCATCAGATTAATTTTCTTGATACATTCAAGAATAAGTCTAATGGGCTCTTTCGCGATTTCTTTAGGTTTCGGATATTGTACCCCGAAGTACCATTCCCGTTCCCATTTAAGGTTTCGACAGTGACACAGTATGTGAGTAGTGGTTCTGTCATCCTCTTCACATATTCTACAGAGGGAGTCATAAAATATCCCTAAGAGATTTAAGTGTTTTCTAATGCCGCAGTGTCCCGTAAGGAGTCCTATTACGACCTTAAGTTCGCTTCTGCTAAGGTTTAGCACTTGATTTTGTCTGCTCGTGAATAGCCCCTCTATGAAGTTACAATTAGAGCCTATGGTGTTTTCTATTTATTTGTTCCCTTACCACCCATTTAACATATTGGTATAAGGTACCACATGTGGGTTCTGGTCCAATAAGAGTTTATTTCGCTCCCTACCTTGCTAGGAGGTCTGCTTTTTCATTTCCAAACACTCCCTGGCAATCAAGTATTGATTTAGATTGTACTTACGAGGTAAGCGCCAATAATTCCTGGCCTGACAATGAAGGAGGCAAAGTACAACAAGTTTTTATTATTTTTCAATATAATCTCCCTCAATGCACTTCTTACAATGTTTAATTAACAATTCAAACCCTTTAAAAAATATTCTTTCGGTTTATCCTCAAAATGGGCCAAAACAGCTTCTTGTAACTCAAAATCGTCCCGAAAACGTCGCCCGCGAAGGTCCTTTTTCAAATAACTAAACAAATAATAATTGCTGGGAGCCATATCTGGACTATAAGGAGGGTGATCTATATTTTGAAACCAGCAATCTAGGATGGCAGCTTGTGTAACGCCAGCAGTATGAACGGACGCATTGTCGTGCAACAACCGCAAGCCTCTGGTTAATTTTCCTCGACGTTTTTCCCGAATACATTCCCGCATCTTATGAAGCAATGCGGCATAATATGTGCCATTACCGGTGGTATTTGTCTCTTTAAAATCAATCACAATCCCAAAAGATCGTAGCCATCACCTTTTTCGTTGATTGGCAGACTCTAAATTTTCGTGGGGGGGCTTCACCGTTACGGCGCCACTCCATTGATTCCCTTTTCGACAGAGGATCATAATAAAGAACCATAGTTTCATCTCCAGTGACTACTGTTTCCAACATGGTGTTCGGATCATCTCCACACAGTTCCAAAAACGATCGAGCACACTCGACACGACGTTGCTTCTGAATCGCCGAAAGGTGTTTGGGCTCCCATCTTGCACTAACCTTATGTATACCCAAATGATCATGGAGGATTCGGCAAACAGTGGTATCAGAAAGCTTGGTCATTTCTGCCATTTCCTTGACCTTCAAACGTCAGTCACTTAGCACCAGGTTTTCCACAAGGGCCACTTTGTCCTCCGTTATCACCTCCACTGGCCGTCCAGGTCTTTCGTCATCTTCAAGGGATTCCTGACCCATGCGAAAACGTTTTGCCCATTCCTTCACTACCGAATAGGAAGGGGAACTTTGGACATATACGCCATCGATTCTTTCTTTAATAATTTTAGGTGTAAGCCCTTCTTTTGTTAAAAATTTAATAACCGCTCTGTACTCAGTTTTCGTCACCTGAGACATTTTCGGAGATACTTTAGTTCAAAATGCTGACAATTAAAAACTATTTGACGTAAGTCGCTTATTTTGTTACCACAGCCTACTAAGGATTGTAGTTATAAAATGTTAAACTTTTATCCTGATAAAATATCTGCAACTATGTCAGGCCGGGAATTATTGGCGCTTACCTCGTATACCCTTTTCAGTGCTTAAAGGGCTGCCTGACGGTCTGTCATGATAAAAACCCTCTTATCTCTAAAAAAGTCATTTAGTATGACTTTGGCGCAGGAATTTATTGCTGTTACTTCAGCCTGGAAGACTGTTATCAGTGATCCTCAGGTTCAGACTAATGGGTTCACATGGTAGAACCCAGCTCCTGTGCTGTTTTTCATTTTCGAACCGTCTGTATACTGTATACCAGATTGATTTGTTCTGTTTTCCCTATTTTCCCGGCTTTTGGCCCTTTAAATGGAAGCAAATTTTGAACAATTTTGAAGAAAGATTTCTGGAACCTTCGGATATTCCTTTGGATATTAGATGAAAAATGTAGCTGCAGCTAGATGCTGCTACGTTGAGGTTATGAAAATGAGTATTCGTGATATGCTTGAGGACTGTTATTTTGATGTTTTATACAATGTAAATAAATATTTAAGAGATATTTTTTAATTTAGGTATTAATTAAAATAATTATTGCAAATTTTTAAATTATTAGAAAATTTCGGTATAAATAAATGTTTTAATATGAAATTGTAAAAAATTACATTTTGTAAGGAACTCCGAAAAATTTGTTAATTAATAATTTTGTAATAAAAGAGTAATTAATTAATTTGAACAAAACTACATTTTCAAAAAATGTCAAATAAATCGGCAATTATCAAAGTTGGTTTTGGACATCCTATATATATGAAAGTAAATTTTAAATTGTAGCCGCAACTAAGTTATATATTTGTTCCGTTTATGCACAGGAAAATTATAAAAATGTTTCTTTCTCCCTAGTAAAGAAATTTATCAAAATTTAGACTAGTTGTTTATTTTCTACACTTATCGTGCTTCCAGGCATATTAAAATTGAAACACAATGTCGCTCGACGCATCATTTACCAGGGAATGTCGAGCGTTTTACATTTATACAATATATACGAGGGCATGGTAACATATAACCTACCTGTAGTAGTTAAATTTATTAAAATGTTTGTACATCATTAGAAGTTATGTTTATCGACTTAATGATGATTATTTTGGAACTAACTGAATATATAAAAATTACAAAATAAAACGAGTAGAAGTGCAATAACAGATGTATTGTTACTTATACATATTACCTAATTTTACAATTATGAATTTACGTAGTTTTCTATACTATTTCTATGTATTGTACCCAACGTATTGGTATAGTGACCATAAATGTAAGATTAGTTTATAATTTAATACCTTTATATTTAATATTAAAGGTAAAAAAGTAAAATCAAGTACAACCCAATATCATTAAGCTATATTATAACATAATAAGTATATTTCAAAATTAAACAAATATTATATTTTCTTATGTACAAACAAATAAATCTTGATTTTTATTATTTCAGGGCAAACAGGATTTTTTGTTGTTGCCATTTTCCTTAGTATGCTGAACAGTGGTAAGTATTTGTCTTTCCATTGATGTTACAGAAATAGTTTATAAAATCGAGAATAACTAATAATGGTGTCAACAAGAATAATAGCTATTCCATCTTGTTTTTGAACTAAATACTATAAGCAAGCTTTGATTTAATTTTACTTACTATAGTCTATTTTAATGTATGAGAGAGTATTGAAATAATAAAGCGTTCGTAATCCATAGGCGTATCACTTCTTTTAGTAGACAGTTAAAATATTTTTTGAAGTTATTCCTCGAGTATACACTTATATTTTCACCTAATTAACCTGCTTATAACTTCTAAACAGCTGAAGGTAATAAAGTGCAATTTTTTCTAAAATGTTTTATTTTTCCAAAAGGTATGTTAAGAACATTGTGTCAAACGGGTTATGTAGGCATAAAGGTTTAAACTTTGACTTATCAGTTCAATCGGGTTTACTTCGCAATGATATGGTGGTGATCTAACCAGCGTCATCCCACGATTTTTTGCAATTTCATCAATTTCATATTTTTTGAATTTCTCTTTATGAAGGGAACACAAATGATACAGTTCTTTTCTCACAGAACCGGAATGGAACTTAATATTCTTTGAATTTAGCCAATTCTGTAAATCTTTTTTTAACCACTTGGTTGTGGGCATTTTTTCTATAAGTCTCGAGTGATAACTTGCATTATTCATTACTATTATACAGTTCTGAGGAAGAAGATCTATAATTTGTTCGAACCACTCTTTAAAGACATCAGCATTCATGTCCTCATGGTAGTCACCGGTAGGAGCAGATTCAAAAGTCAATAAACCACCTTTCACCTTTAACAAAACCGTTTGAACTACCGATGTGTACTATTATTAGTCTGCGCCCCTTTCCTGATGGTGGATTTAAACCAGTAGATAAATTATTTAAAAAAGCCTGTCTTCGACTTGTAACAGTTTCATCTTGCCAAAATTTATTTGGTTTATGTCTCTCGTTGATCCATGTTTCATCTAAATAAAATATATTTCTTCTTTGGTTTCTCATTTCTTTTATAGTCCTTAGGTAATTTCTTCTCCATACTACAATATCGCTTCTTTCTATTAAAATAGACTTTCTGGAATGCTTTTTCCATAGAAAACCTATTTCATTTAAAAGTTTTCATAGTGTGCTTCGACTTATTTCAGGGTAATCCTTATCATCTCGAACCGTGGCAAGAACTTTGTCTACTGTCGGAAATTCTTTTCTAAAGAAGAACGCATGCACTTTCCTTCGAAGTCTTTCTTTCAAAAGATTTTCTATTTGAAATTTTGGTTTTCCTGGAGCTTTACGTGATGTTTGAAACTTGCCACATTTCTCTTCTTTAACAACTCTGTAAATCGTAGATTTCCCAACACCAAGCGTACTACTAGTTCCACTGTGTCATCAATAGTTATATATAAATGTTTGTCTGTAAATGATTTAAAACAATTAAATATTAATGTTTTTTCATTAACTGTTAAAGGACCGATTTTTTGTCGTTTACGCGACCCTTCCAAATTTTCCATGATTACACTAGAATTCACACTGCACCTTGCAAGTTGCAACTAAATGACATTTAGTAAACTGTCAAGAATACACAACTTGGACCTCCTTACTAAATGGAAAACCTCTAATCGCATTTTTGGTGAAATTTGTTGGGAAGGTATTTATCTACTTATAATTCGATTACTGTAACAAATTCTTGGAATTAAAATAAAACAAAATTGGCAAATAGGTACTTATTGAAAATAATCTTAAGATACGGCTATATAATCTTTAATACACAGGGCTTTTGGCCTGTCCAAACCTTTTTCTATTGTTCTGTACAGCTTATGTTTATAAAGGACCAATAAAGGACCCAAAACTTGTAATAGCTTAGGTACATTTATTACAATTTTAGGAAATATTTGATTATTCTGTAAAAAAAATTAAAATGACCGTACTAAGTTTTGCATTAGAAATGCTGTTTTATTACTCTCTCATACATAAAAATAGACTATACTCGTAGTTGTGTATTAAGAGCGAAAAGTGATACTTTACTGCTTGAGATAGAAAGTTGCCCGCGCGACGCCTAGCGGAGTGTGGCAATCTTTCGAAAACGTAAACGCAATTTTTGTTCAAAATGTACACATTTTTTTCTACAATTACACTTTTTTTAATAAATAGATATAAAAACTAAATATTTGTCGTAAGTAGTGTATAATGTGTTGCCTATACCTACGTTTATCATAAAAAAAAAACAGTTGATATTCAAAGTCCATGATAATTTGGATAATTTAATAAAAAAACATGTAACTACGTACAAATAACTTGAAAATCGTTTATTAAGAAGAAATATCATTGTATTATAGCTAATTTAAATTGGACGAGCAACAAAGCCGTCTGTCAGTTCATGAAAAACGTTAACTTTGCGGTTAGATTTCGAAGCGCAAAAGCCTAGTTTGGATAATGATCGTAAAAAATGAATATTTTAAATTTTATTAGTTTTTTACATTGACCATTATTTTTATTTTACCTTAAATTCGATTCTTAACCTACACAATACTTTTAGCATTAACAGCCACAATACAAATGTCAACAGCAGTTTTAATATCGAAACTGCCTCAATCGTACCTGATGTTTTTCCTGATAGGGCAAAACGGAGCATTTATAAGCACAATTCTTCAAATCATATCTTTAGCACTAACGGATAATCAACCAACCGCAGGACTCTTTTATTTCTCGTCAGGAGCAATTTTAATATCAATTACTTTCATATTAGTAACGATGTGCAGAAAAACGAAAGTGTTTGAATTCTATGAAATCGAAGTTGTAAACGAAAACAATTCCGAGAACATTAGCTGGGATGAAGCTAAGGAGCTGATGAAAATAATTTGGCCTAGCCAAGCGGTTATCGGTTTGGCACTTTTCACCATTTCTACGATACATCCTGCAATTAGTACCTTGGTAGTTTCTGAAAACGAAATGGCAGCAACGCCATGGAGCAGTAAGTCTTTACATCTAAACTTATTGATGTTGAATAGAAATCAAATGAAATAATAATATTTTTACATAACATCAGTGATGCCGTGAAGATGATAAATTTTCGATTTGTGGATAATTTAAAGCTTGGAAGATCTTGATGAGGATTGATTATAAAATAATTTTGTAAAATCTACTAACTGTTCTAAATTTTAAAAAGCTAATTAACGTGCCTTTGCATTTCGGTTACCTACTCTTTTCAGGGGTTTGTGTCACCGAACAATCATAGCATTGCTAGTTTTGTGGACTGCCAGTTACTGCTTTTACAATGACTGCTTTTGATTGTTCTTGAAACAAACCTAAATAACCTTAAAAACTAGATATGCTTATATTCAACTTTATTATTCATTTAAATACCTAATAAAAACAGTTTTCTATGGATAAAAGAAAATAATTTTAACTGGTCTCGAAAATAATTCGGTGATATCTCCGCGGCAACACTGGTATAAATGTAAACATTGGTTTCGATTTATAATATTTTTAATTTTTAGCAAAATTCTTTTCTCCAGTAGCTGCTTTCTTGGTCATAGAACTGAGTGCTATCATTGGAAGGCTTTTATCGAAAAAATTCTTTATAACTGTAAGTTACCTTATTTATAACCATTTATAACCATTTATAACTATTTATAACCATTTATAACCATTTATAACCATTTATAACCATTTATAACCATTTATAACCATTTATAACCATTTATAACCATTTACAACCATTTATAACCATTTATAACCATTTATAACCATTTATAACCATTTATAACCATTTATAACCATTTATAACCATTTATAACCATTTATAACCATTTATAACCATTTATAACCATTTATAACCATTTATAACCATTTATAATTATTTATAACCATTTATAACCATTTATAACCATTTATAACCATTTATAACCATTTATAACCATTTATAACCATTTATAACCATTTATAACCATTTATAACCATTTATAACCATTTATAACCATTTATAACCATTTATAACCATTTATAACCATTTATAACCATTTATAACCATTTATAACCATTTATAACCATTTATAACCATTTATAACCATTTATAACCATTTATAACCATTTATAACCATTTATAACCATTTATAACCATTTATAACCATTTATAACCATTTATAACCATTTATAACCATTTATAACCATTTATAACCATTTATAACCATTTATAACCATTTATAACCATTTATAACCATTTAAAACCATTTATAACCATTTATAACCATTTATAACCATTTATAACCATTTATAACCATTTATAACCATTTATAACCATTTATAACCATTTATAACCATTTATAACCAGTTATAACCATTTATAACCATTTATAACCATTTATAACCATTTATAATCATTTATAACCATTTATAACCATTTATAACCATTTATAACCATTTATAACCATTTATAACCATTTATAACCATTTATAACCATTTATAACCATTTATAACCATTTATAACCATTTATAACCATTTATAACCATTTATAACCATTTATAACCATTTATAACCATTTATAACCATTTATAACCATTTATAACCATTTATAACCATTTATAACCATTTATAACCATTTATAACCATTTATAACCATTTATAACCATTTATAACCATTTATAACCATTTATAACCATTTATAACCATTTATAACCATTTATAACCATTTATAACCATTTATAACCATTTATAACCATTTATAACCATTTATAACCATTTATAACCATTTATAACCATTTATAACCATTTATAACCATTTATAACCATTTATAACCATTTATAACCATTTATAACCATTTATAACCATTTATAACCATTTATAACCATTTATAACCATTTATAACCATTTATAACCATTTATAACCATTTATAACCATTTATAACCATTTATAACCATTTATAACCATTTATAACCATTTATAACCATTTATAACCATTTATAACCATTTATAACCATTTATAACCATTTATAACCATTTATAACCATTTATAACCATTTATAACCATTTATAACCATTTATAACCATTTATAACCATTTATAACCAGTTATTGTTGTTAATAACATGTAGTTACCTAATATTCCTTTTTTTTTAATAAAATATTTTTTGCAGGAATCGAACAAATATTGGTACGTTGGCTTTTCTGCCCTGCGATTAATTATTAGCATACCAATTTGTATGTTATTCGATGCAAAACCAAGAAATCTTCCAGTGCTCTTCCACAGAGATTGGCAATTTATTGTTTTTATGTTTATTTTTGGATTTACGAACGGTTGGTTAGTGAATGTATCGGCTATGAGTTTAAAAACGTAATTATTAACTTTTGTTATTTATTTATTTTTGATAATATACTTATATGCCCATTTACAAGAGTAATCAAATGTAAAATTCAGTGTTAAATCTTATGAAAAGATGACTTGTTTAGTTTTGCATACAGGAACATAGGAGGCACCACGAATTCGGAAACGAGATTAAATCTTTGTTTTATTTAATTCAATCAATTCAAATCATTTGAACACAATTTAGGCGTCCATCATTTTAACCACGACCTCCATTTATATTCTTGATCATTTTTAAATTGATCCTGAAAAAATTGCGGAACAATCGACGCAGTTATGATGTGCGGGCCTTGCAAAATATGAGTCGCAATACTGATTGTCCTCTATACTGATTAAGATTTGAATAATTTTAAATAAGAACCACAATTTTATTATTATTTTTTTTTTTTAGTTTGGTACCAGGAAAACCAGAGGCGGCTTTTAAGTTACTGGCTTTAACAATTTCGATATTTAGTGCTGTCACAGTAGCCAATGGTTTATTGGCTGTCAAAGCACTATTAATTTAAGTAGAACTTATGTAAATTAACTTAATTTGTATATGTATATAATAGTTTTTTATTAAATATATTTTTTTTATTTAAATATTGTTATAATTTCTTTTGTTAATGATTATTCCATTGTCGAGAATGTTTTATTTACAATGGAATTACTTTTTGCATATCTGTGGGTTTTGTTGTGGAATTTAAAAATTTTATCAAACCTATCGTATCAGATAAAAAATAATAACATTAAAGTTGTTTATATTTAATTTTATGGTATTTATTAAAGCAAGATAAAGAAAAAACTTTTATTAAAAATGCATTTGCGTTAGTAATAGTGATTCTGAGATAGGAAAAAAAGGCAATTTTATGTTCTTGATATTACAAGTTTAAATTTTTATTTTTGATTTATACCGTTAAATAACTAGTTTATGAAGCCTTCAACAATACACGCATCCCACCCGACTATGATTATGATGCCATTAGTTGGCTACAAGTAATAGTAATAACTTACTTTGAAATTCTTGTAAAACATTATGTAACATTGCTGTGGTGATTTGTTTTATTTCATGACTTATTCTGGTTTTTAAATCATCTATGTTGGTTATTCTGTTGAAATAGACCTCTGATTTTAGATAAACCCATAAAAAATAGTCGAGTGGGGTCATGTTTGGAGAACGAGGAGGCCATTTAATTTCACCACGTCGACTAATTTATCTAAAATTTTGATTAAGATAAGCTCTTACTGCTACTGCATAATGCAGTTCCATCTTGCTGACACCATACGTTTCTATTTATTTCGTTTGGGTCAACATCATCAAGACAAAGTCTTTTTTACGTTGGTACTAAAAAAATTTGTAGGAAATCTAAATAAGATTCGCCAGTCAATGTGTCGTCAAATAAATATGGTCTAACAATATTCCAGTCCACACGTTTCATTTATTAGGATATTGATCCTAATTGGTTTGTCTGGTCAATTTTGAAAGCTTGTGTGATATATTGAGATTTAGCTCGCCTATTTAAATAAAAAATAATGTCATATTTAAAGAAGGCATTTCTCGTATATTTTAAAAGATGTGGAGGATCAAATAATGTTATTATCCTTTTCCCATTAACATAAAAATAAGGACCAGGTCTTGTAATTGATTCAAAGCTGCTCGATTTGTACTCCCCCAGATCACAAACAGTAGCCAAAACATTTAAACCTAAATCTTTAAGAGCGGTTATTAATTCTACAATAATTACTTTTAAATCTATAGTTTTGACTGCAGCTTTGGTAAAGTAATAAGCCACTGGCTGCTTCCTAGCCTTTCTAAGGCCGTTAATTATAAACACCAACGCATGGTCAGCAAACTCTTCTTTTTTCTTTTTTCCAAAATCTAAATAACTAACTACTCTATCATTGACTACATCTAAAGTAAACTGTTCTGCGAGTTTAATTTCATCAAATAATAAAACACAGTTCCGGTCAATTTGCTTCATTTTAGCAACCCTTTCCTTAAGACGATCAAAAATTTCTTTATTGATTCTAGTTTCAAAGGGAACCCATTTTAAAAAACAACGAACATTTAACTTTTCTAAAGTTAGTAACACTTAATTTTATTTTTAGATTTTATTAAACTATTCTTTAAATTTTTTTTCGCTGCTCTAGGTTATTGTAATAAAATTTTCTCTTTCTAGGAGTTAAATTACCAATTCTAGTCACATTAATTTGATTTAAAATCCCATTTCTTACACGTGGTTTGTTAACTAAAGGTTCCTCAACATATTCGGGTTTATAATAAAAAAAGTCTAGCTTTCTTTTAGCTGAAGTTACATTTGAACAAGATGGTTTAATTAATACATTACTAGTTATATTTATTTTAGGAAGTGAATTGATGATGGCAGCTCTGAAAAATTTTCATCTAATTTAACATTAGTACTATTCTCTACTAAGGGTACTAACGGAAAAGCCAATTTGATGAGCTTAGTCAAAGTGCGGATAAACGCATTCTCATCGAAATGATCCTCACAAAATAGCCTTCTTTTAGATGTGTAGGAAATATTTAAAAACTTGAACCATTTCTCTCGCATGAATATTTAAATAAATTAAAAGTTGATGACATCTTCATAACCTCACTATATTTTTACTATAAACTATAAATAAATTACTTAAATCTAACTTAAACTAAATTAATTAAATTTTACTCACCTACATTTTCCACGAATATATCAGACTGATATATTTTTAAGGCAACATAACCTAATTTATTAACAAAGCCAGTTTTACACCATCTTGTATTATTTAAATATTGCTTTAACTTTACATTTATTAACGATTAACGATGTATTTGATCATATATTGTATTAAAGTGAAATTTAAAGGGTTGTTTTAGTAAAATTATTACTCTTTGAAAATGTATTTTATTTTAGTGTTCGAAGCGTTGACCACTTCTGATTCAAACCTTTTCCTTTAGTTTTTCTATGGTTGCAACCATCAAATTTGTAAATAGGAAGTAGGGGCTTGTGATGCCTCATTTAGAAGGTCTCTTTATTCTCTATTTAAAGCCGCGGTCATTTATAAATTTTTTCAAAAATTAACAGTAAAAAAATATAAATTCATCTGATCGACGAAATTCGCTACATAATCCTATAGATAATCTATGTACCAAACTTTTGGAGACACCCTGCATTATTACAAGTTATATTATTAAGCTTTATTTGTATGTGTGATTATTTGAAGTCCGTATTTGCATATACAGGGTGTTTCAAAAAGATTGGTTATAAATTATACCACATATTCTTGGGTCAAAAATAGGTCGATTAAACCGTACTTACATTTATACAAAAGTGCACCCAAAAATAGTTACAGGGTGTATAAGATAAAAATTTAAATGACATTTTTTAAAGTTGCTCTTAAACCGTTTGGCATTTTTTCATGAAATTTTGACGTGTTAGAATACCATGACTAATAATACTGAGGAAGAGGCTATATTTTTTTCTTGATTTTTATAGGTTTTTGGAGGGGGTCACCGCTCTTTTCTCCACTCAACTTTTTTGTAGTATAAAATTTAATTACAAATGAAACGCCATTGCAATGCAACATCCATTTGGAAACTTTTTTGTCACTTAGTATTTGTTTGTAAAATGTTTGGTTTAGACGGTACAGCTATTTGAAATGACAACTTAAAAATATTAAATGGAAATTCTACGTATGAAAAATATCAAAATCAAGTTTATTTTTAAATTACAAACTAATGTTGGTCTACTGTCAATATGGACCTAGCCGTTAACCTTTTTAAAAAATCAGTTACCCAAAAATCATTTTTTTATTTTGGCCCAAAATATTATAACCTCCTACCTATAAATATAAAACAAATCGCTAAAGAACATATATTTAAAACCGAAGTAAAGAAATTCACAATAGTAAATTTTTATTCTGATTCATTTGTCTTATTCAAATTATAAAAAAAAAAAAAAAAAAAAAAATATACCGATAATGTCAAACATGCCCTGCGATTCCTCAAGCATTAACCAATTCAACATCAATAAGTCTGGCACTGTATCTGCCAAATCCCAATACATCATCTTCATTATTATTCCAATTTTTGTTTATTTTTTTATTATGCTTACCATTTATATTATATTATATATTATAATACAATTTAAAAAAGGGGACCTAGAATGAGCACAATAGCAACACAGGCTACACAGGCTACAGAGCCTAGGCAAGATGCTTATTCTAGGGCTCCTTGTCAAATGTTAAATGTTTTCAAACTTTACTGTAATTATTGTATTTATATTTTGTCAATAATAAAATTCTAAAAAATTCTAAAAATTGAAAAAATAAAAAAATAAAAAATGTCATCAAAATAAAAAAAAATTATTTAACAGGTGTTCAAAATTACATTCTCATCCTGTATACACTTACTACATAGTTTTAACAATGAAAATCGAATTTTGATATTTTTGCATACGTATAATTTACATTGAATATTTTTAAGATGTCATTTTAAGTGGCTGTATCGTCTAAACCAAACATTTCACAAACAAATACTAAGAGACAAAAAAGTTTTCAAATAGATGTTGCATTTCACTAGCGTTCGATTTTTAATAAAATCCTACAAAAATAAAAAAAAAATATTGCTTTTACCTCGATTTTGTTAGTCATGGTATTCCAACACGTCATACAAAATTTCATAAAAAATGTCAAACGGTTTAAGAGCAACGTTAAAAAAATTCATTTACATTTTTATCTTATACACCCTGTAACTATTTTTGAGTGCACTTTTGTATATAGGTAAGTACGGTTTAATCGACCTATTTTTGACTCAAGAATACGTGGTATAATTTATGACCAATCTTTTTGAAACACCCTGTATAATGCACCTGATTTTATAGTGTATTTTTCATGGGTATTCTGATAGTTATTAAATATTTTGTGCAAAAAAAAAAATTATCATATCATACCATAAAAATTGTTTTATTAGTTAATGGTAGATTATAAAAGAGATAACATTACGTTTTAATTTCTTATATATTAATATTTGCATAATATAAAGATTTATCTCATTACAAGTTCAGTGCTTTAGTCAATTTTCATCATTTTAAATTGCAAAAAAAGTAAGTATCCAACTGTGATTTTCCTTCTTAAAATAATTAGGCATTCGAAAGAAATGAATTGCCAGTGGAAAGGTTTGGTATATCTAAGGGTTGCGACGATACGATACGATGTATTCTATCTACTATACGTAAAATCATAAATAAGAGATTTCATTTAAGTATTTGTCAAACACAATAAAAATAATATTTAAAAAACCCACTTATACATTTCTTTATAAATTAGCTGGCTTGGCGACTACTATTTTAAATAAAAGTAGCGTCCAAGGTGCAAGACTATGTCGCTACCCCCTTAGATATACGAGTGACTGGTACCTATTGTTTGACAGTTCGTTGGAATGCCTAATTATACAAGTAGTTGCGGGTGGAGGATGGACTTTTTCTAGACTTGTATTGTAGGAAAATAACAGTGGGAACTTAGTTGGATAAAGATCAAATAAAACAACAGAACCTTTTTTTGTTTTAGCTTCAGTACTGTTAAAATCGTCAGATAAAAATATAAAATGGACAAAGAAATGGGAAAAACTGAAAAGGAACCTAAAGATCATTTTTTTCTTGTACGTACAACTTGTTTTCTACTGGGTTTCATGAATCTCGCACCTCTTCTCTTCGCCAGTACTGCTGCGGGGGTAAGTAAACCTTTTTTTTATAATATTTAAAAATACTTGATAGAAGCAATTAATTTACTATAATTACAAGCTGATCAATGAATTATGTACACTGACAATGACATGTTTAACTTATGTTTACATCTAAGAAGATAGTATTACAATAAAACTTGTGATAGCCATGTGTGAGTTTGTTTAATAAATGAAAGGAAGAAAGATAAAAGTCCTTTAAACATATATCCAGTCCAAATAAATTTGGTTAACCTTGTTAATTTAAATAAATAACTTTTCGTTTTATTAGATTATTAGTATAGTACTTCTAGTTGTTATAGTCGATAATTGACGAAGAAAAAATTATTTTATTATATTACTAAGGAATTATACCACCTTCACTATTCGCATTGAGTAGTTGAAAACAAGCTAACAAATTAATTAAAAATTTAAAAAATTTTACTGTGAAAAATATATTGAAATTTAAATTTTTGTACAATAGTTAATATAAAAAAGGTGAAAGGCAAAATGCCAAAAAAAAACTGAAGATTTTTTCCCTATTTTTTTTGCCTTCCCTGACAACTGCACCAGGATTTCTTTCGATGTTAGCAACCTTTACACCTCGGTCCCAAGGTTTGAGACCATGACTTTGGTTTGGGAGGTTTTGAGAAGTTCAAACGTTTCTGCCAATAACACAACCATCATTTTACAATTTTTAAACCTGTGCTTATCACAAAATTTCTTCACTTTTAACAACATCACCTATGAAAAACCAGATGGACTTGCTATGGGATGTGGCCTATCTTTTCTAATCGCTGATATCTTCATGAACCATCTACTAAACGACTAGATTCCATTATTGTTTGTCTTTTATTTACTATTTTTATTTACTATATCTAAAACCATGTTTTTTGTTTAATTTCCAAGTGTTCTAACAGAACATACCTCAAGGACATGTTTCTTTTCCAATTCTGCTAGAATACCTACAGGATTTTGGTATGATATTTAGTATGTACATACTAGGGTGCTTCATTTTCAGGCAATATTTTTTTTCTCTGTGCTACCTGAAAATCTGAAACTTTATAAAAAATTACGCCGCCGGGTAAAAGGTTCTAAATGCAATAGCGACTTAGCTCATTCAAAAATTCAATTTCCTATTTAAATAACATAGGAACATTTTTTTTTAATTCAATTTAATTTTTCGATATTAAAAAATTTTTTTAGGAAAAACCCGTGAATAGCTTTTGTAAGCCATGAAATTTGCTACAAAAAGTTTCCATTAAGGAATCCCCTCCAACCTACAGTTTTTGAGTTATAGAGCTAGAAAGATGAATATTAATTATATATCACATCAAATCTTCTTTATACGGGGTGTTATTGAAATACACGTACATATTAAAATGGGGAATAGTATATAATGACCAAAAACGATTGGCACCAATTTTAACTTCAAATTCTAAAATTTAAATATTGGGGAAGAGTCCCCTTTTCCGACCTACTAGTTTCCATATTTAAAGAAGTAAAATAAATCGAAATTGAACTTACCCATAGAAATTGCACTGTTGCCGTAGCAAAACCAATTAATTCAAAATAAAGTTTATTACAGTAATTGTTCAAAATGCCGTCCATTATTATTTACACACACTTGCAATCGTCTTTCCAAAGAACTTTGAACATTAGAAATTAGTCTTGGATTTTGTCGTAGTTCCTCGGCTACCGCATTAACTTTATTGGTTAATTGTTCAACACTATTAATAGGTTCATTATAAACCAGTTGTTTCATGTGACCCCACAAAAAGAAATCGCATGGATTTAAGTCCGGAGATCTCGGAGGCAACTTAGTAGGTCCATTTCTGCCTATCCACTTTTGAGGAAATCTAATGTTCAAAAACTGCCGTACGTTTAAATCAAAGTGAGGAGGAGCGCCATCTAGTAGGTACCACATCCGTTGCCTTAATTGTAACGGTATCTCTTCTAGGAGTACTGGCAAAATATCTTCTAAAAAGTGGAGATATCCTGGCCCATTTAATCTGTTCGGGAGAACATAAGGCCCGATTAAATACTGATCTATTATGCCGGCCCAAACATTTATTGAACATTTTCTTTGATGCCCAGTTTCCCTAATGGCGTGAGGATTTTCATCACTCCAAATATGCGTATTGTGCATATTTAACACGCCATCACGAGTGAATGAAGCCTCGTCAGTATACAATAATATTTTTAGAAAATCAGGAATATCAACACATTTTTGAATCATCCATTCACAAAACTCCACTCTCTTTTCTTCATCACCTGGATATAAGGCCTGGACTTTTTGGATGTGATAAGGATGTAAACCTTGTTCTTTTAGTGTCCGCCACACAACAAATGAGGACATTCCAATTTCATGACCTAGTCTTCTACAACTTAATTGAGGCCGGTTTTCAACAGCTTCCAATATTTCTTCTTCGGCCGCCAATGTTCTTTGTGTTCTTGTTCTCCCTCGATCTGCATTGACACTCTCAAATTTTCCATGGTCTCTTAGATGCTGAACAGTTGAAATAAACGTACGACAGTCCGGAATTCTCCGATTTGGAAACCGTTCGCGATACAGGATTTGTGCTTGCCGAGAATTTTCTCCAGCTGCCCCATAAACCAGCACTATATCCGTTAGTTCAATATTCGTAAATAGTGGCATCGTAAAAAAATATTTAAAAGTAATCGTAACAACACTTTTTACCAACTTGGAAATGACGCGCTCGTTAGCCAGATTCGTAAATCAACTAAAATTTTAATAATCTATAGTTTCAAAAATGTATAGTTTAAAATCAATCATTTATCAAATATTCTAGTTTTTTGATAACGAGGGTAGTAAAAACCAGTCTTCGGAAATAGAAAATAATTCGAAAATCTTGGCAACATGGTTATTTCTTACAAGACTAGTTTTCTTATCATCTGACAAAAACTTGCATATTAATTACTGTTGATGTTTAAAATAGGTAAATAAACCTAATTTATATAGGTCATCCTCAACATATCAGTGAAGTACGTTTGTTTTAGAATTAATTTTCAAAAATTAATAACTCCCTTAATAAGGGGTATTTTTAAAAAATAATATTTTTCTACATTCAGTGGGGATCTGCGCAATACCCAGTTTTAATATGTACGTGTATTTCAATAACACCCTGTATAAACTTAGTTTTGCAACACTGTTTCAAACGGCATCAAAGAGATTTTCGTTTTACAAAATTTTTAAACTTAGATTTAGTTGCTTACCAAGACATTTACATCAATAAACTTAATACTTCCCGATTATTTGGTAGCTTACGTTGGGATAAAAATGTACGTTCATAATCAAGTAAATAAATGTTTTTACAGGAGTTTTTATTAGGCCATTTCAGCTAAATATGAGTCTAATCACTGAGTCTGACATTTATGACAGAAATAGAAAAATAAACAATGAGGTTAAAGCACAATTATCAACAATCAATGCTAGTCAATAACGATTGAAGAGCAAAAACTTTAGTTTACATCAATGGAAGTATAGACGAAGTCAAGAGTAGTGCTACTGTGGTTAGAAATTTGAAAATTAGAACTGTAGCGTCCTAATGTTTATAATAAGTTATTATTAGATGTAAAAATAATAAATTTTAGTTTAAAGAAGATTTGATGTGAAATATAATTGATATTCTTCTTTCTAGTTCTATAACTCAAAAACTGTTGGTCGGAGGGGATTTTTTAGTTTTCTGTGATCAATATATTTATTTAATATCGCATAGTCGTTTTGTTCTTTCTCCAGGTCAAAATATTGTAGTTCAGACAGATATCTCTTATCATCGGACGAATCCTGTAATTCCATTTCTACAGAATCTGAATCTGTATCTGACATATGTTCCCCCTTTTTGTGTTTTCTTTTTTTAACTTTAACTTTAACTCAGAAATAGTCTTTTTAACAATTTTGGAGATTTTTACTTTAGGAGTTTTCTTGCTTCCGGTTTTATATGATAGGCCTTTAAGTTCAGGAGTGCTTATAAGAATTACGCTAGTTTGGATTTTCTATCCTTTCAAATGTTTTTCCTGTGCTGCGCTTTCGGTAGGCCAGCAAACTCCATTGGTGAAATAAATGGACATGATGAATTTGTGGAAGAGATATCATCGGACTGATTAAGTGGCGTGTTTCCCATAGAACTGTCAACACTCTGTTCTAAATGGCTATTACTTTCTTGAAAGCTAGATGTCTTTGAAGAAGCTTGAACACCAGAAGGACATGCACATGTTCCAGTTACATCTGAAGGATCGGTGTAATTAATGTTGTCGAGAGCACTATCGTCATCTGGAGGATCGGCGTTAATATTACTATTATCCAATGCACTATCGTTATCTGTTATGAGGAATAAATTCGTTCTCGTAGTGGCTTTAGCATCACTATCCTCAACTTCTTGTGGCCTGTCGGTTACCGACGATGACATAAAATCAACATCAGAGGAAAGATTTCGATTAAACGGATAAATACCAGTGCTTCTAAAGCTGGAAATAATATTTTCTGAATTCATGGCTTTGGAATGTGCAATTCCTACGCATTTGGCAATCTGATATAAAGGCATGGGAATTCCGGGATTACTTACAAGCTAAGAGTCTACTGCATGATTGTAAAATGTTTTGAATGATGAAAACACTGCTTTATCGAGTGGATGTTATTTATTACTACAGTGTGGAGGCAGTGTTACAATTATTACACTATTTAACTTTGCAGTTTCCGCAATTTCTAACGAAACGCGAGACTCGTGATTGTCGTAAATTAAATGCATGGTATCTCCAAGCTAGCATTCGAGTGCTTGATAAAATGCATAAGTAATTCTTGAAAAAGCTCTGCTGTCATCCAGCCAGATGGATTTGCAAGTCCTAATGTATTTGGAGGGGCTTCCATTTAACATTATTTGCATAAAATTCTTAGGTGTAAACACAATAACAGGCGGTAGAAAGGTTCCATCAGCACGAATAATATAGCAACTATCGTTGCTAAGGTTCCCCTCTCAGCACTTGAGCACTAATTAAGCTGCTTTACTCCCTTTTGAGCTAATACTTTTTGTGGTTGTTGGACTGTTGTAGTGCTCATTTCGTCCAAGTTATAAATTCTAATATATTCCACAGCTGCGGGATATCTTTTATAAAAAAAAAATACCGACATTATGTCTGTTGAAAGATGTCAGGCGAGATAATGAGCACGCTTCAGGCTTTCTAATACTTAAACATGTAGCTCTTTTTATAAATGCTCGCAGCCAATCTGCACTAGCCCGTTTGTTAATTTTCCAGCTTTCAGGGCAATTTATTTTATTTTATTTCTATGTGCCATCTCGTACGCAAGTTTTCTTACTTTTGTTGAATTCAGTCCATATGCCATTTCACTGCATTTTTTTATATATTTGCATAATGACTCTTCTTGATCCTTTGTGAAAACAGCTCTCACTAAGTAGTTTGGCTCCATTCTTGCATTTGGGTCTTCTCCTTGCTTTAAAACATATATTCTGAGGGTGGTAAATTTGACGTTACATATCTCTGCAGCTTGTCTTAACGATGTGCCTTTCTGGCCATAGTAAATCTAAATAATTAAAAAAACAAATTTTATTACTACAACACATATGCGTGCAAATAATCTAATAAAAAATTTGATGCTAATACTAGTAAATGTCAGTATGTTAGTATCTGAATATATGACTCCAGTCAGGGCTAAATTATTCCAACCTTTGTCTGCACGCTGTAAAAAATATTTTCACCTTTACTGAACAATGTTTTAAAACATTTTTTGATATGGCACGATGTGGTACACAATATGTATCATTGTGTACCACTTGTTTCTGTTTAATTGTGTACCACTAGGCACTTGCTAATACTAAGAGAAAAAAACAGTATAAAATATCGTTGACTCAATCTGAAATTTATAGGTTATGCGGCCAAAAGATAAAAGATAAAATTAACATGAAAACATATCATTCCTTTCCACAACAAAATCCAGAAAAAAGCTATATGGTGCGAAAAACACAATTTTCTTAGTAACCCTCACTAAAATACCGGCATAGCCGCCAAAACACACTGAATGAGGCAGTAGGCACAGAAGTACGTTAGGTTGCGCTGCCATCAGTGTGGCGCGAAATTTAAACAAAATAATTTAAATGTTTCATTGTGTACTACTCTCCCCTACCTACTTTTTCTAAGATTTATAAATTTAAAGATTGAGAATTTTCCTTCGAAAAATATAAAATATTACTAGGCATTTTTCATTTTGTATTGAAAATTAGATATTATCTATAATGCGGACCTGAATAACTTCTTTCTAGTGTAAAGAAGTACTTACCTATCTTTAAGCTGCTGATAACCATTTTCTTATATCTTGATCGGAGTAATACTATAATGCTTATTTTAATTCTTAAAATAAAATTATTTTTTCTTCTCTCTACCAATAGAATTTCACCAGAGTTCTTTTCTTACCGCCTAGGAGTACTAGAAGATGAAGTTTTAGACTTCGAAACTGGTCGCTTCAAAAAAAAAAAATACATCACTGAGATATTATGGACTTTTTCTGTCGTATCCTTCATTTGATAGACCTATAAACTGACACTGAAAAGAATTCATTTTTTCTTATTTTTTCCTGTAATTTATTCTTAATTATTTATTTATTTATTTCCTTAGTATTGGTTGTATAAATTTCGCGATCCAAGCATAGGTTCGGGAACAACCCTCGGAATGGACAGAACTACTTTGCAAGCGTATTACCAACCAGTTTCGATGGTAGCTCAGCAAGTACCATCAGTAACAATGTCATGTCTGATGACTGTGTATGGTCATAAAGTACCTCATATGAGAAGGACCCTGGTGTCCTTGTTGCTATTCATTGGACTGTATCTCTTGTTTACGTTATTTACGCAGATTAATACGGATTCATGTAAGTACAATGGAAATTATTTATTGTTTCGGCCTTTACTTGATGAAAATCCATTTTATCTTGAATGAGTAAAACCAAATTTGGTAGATTTTCACAAAATTTTATTTAAAAAAATAAAATAAAAATTAAAAAATTAAAAACACTATACATAACATGTTTCGAAGTACAACTTCTTTTTCAAATTTTTTAATTTTTATTTTATGTTTTAAAATAAAAGTTTTGTGAAAATCTACCAAATTTGGTTTTACTCATTCAAGATACAATGGAAATAATTTCATATACAAATACATTCTACTTGTTATTACAACAACCTGTAATATATCTTATCTAACCATACAATGAAATGTATTTTTCATATATTGATCTGAAATTTATCACGGAAAAAGGAAACGTTAGACCTTTTATCCATTTTCATCTATTCATAGATGAGTTTTTCGACGTTATAATTTTCTAGTAGAGCATGTAGTTCTGTTGTGAAAACCTTTAATAAATTATTGTTAATGTCATCTACGTAGGTTTGATCAATTAGCGAATTTGAAGATAGAGAAAATTGAGGATTTTTTGCAATTTCCTTCAATATCCTACGAGGAACGATAATGATTTATGTCCAAATGCGACACTTTTTAATTCTATACATTTGAATGGGTGAGTGGTATATCACGGCAAAGTAAAGTTTGTGAAAATGTTTGGTTGCGGTTAATTTGTATTTGTCGGTACATGTTTTGGATGTCATTTGTTAAAACGACATAATATGTCAAAAAGTAGTGGTTGAGCCTGTGGTCTCTTAAAGGAAATGTCATTTAATCGATAATTGTGTAAAAGTTTTTACGGAAAAGTCTAAAACTACCCGAAATTTTATTGCTTCGCTGTCCTTTATAATACATAAGTAAGGAACAAAACATTATTTAAAACAAGAGTTAAAGATAAACAAACTTTTTAGTTTGGATTATTTCATATTCTATAAGTTGTTCTCGATATATATCTAAAGAAGACTAATTGATAAGTTCCATTTTGTAAAATTATTGTGGTTTTGGAAATATTTCTTCTACTTGTGATTTATCAAGCGTTAAAATAGGATCACTAAGAGTGACTTCTTTCTGTTTTCAAAAATTTTCGTTAAGCGAATGTGTGTTTGCCTTATCTGTAGAATTATGATTACAATTTAGGGCTAGCAAAGACGATTTAGTACTTTGCTATGAATTATTGTAGTCCAATTAAATAACGAAAAAAACCCCTTCGAGCTTACATTAATTTGTAATTGGATGAAACAAAGTGGACAATGTGTATTTTGATGTGATCTTTCAGAAAAAAAGAAAAAAATGATGTGGCTATTTTTTATTTTTCTTTTAATTAGGAAAAACCGGGTTTTCCGGAATTTTCCATGGTAAAAATGCTAATTATCTGGCCAAGTATCATTCTGATAGTAAAAATAAATGCACCAATCGAAAGAGGAGGCAAAAATAGTTCGAAATTTCATTGCACAGGTAGTTTTAATGGCGAATTTCTCGCCGCCAGAAGTGCTTTTACCAAAAAGTTGTTTTTTCGTTTCTTTGACCAGAATCATGAACATGAAATTTGCGATGAATTTGTGGCGAAATTATAAATGTTAGATATATGTGCCCATGAGAGAAGTTGCGTATTTTTTTGTGGGCTCTCAAATAAAATAAGTCCCGCGGCGAAATCTGCCATAATTTTTCGGGAATTCGCAGGAAACCGGAAGGCGTTAATTTTTTTTAATTTTTTTCCCATGATTTTCTCCGGGTTTTCCGAAAACATCTAACAAAAAATATATTGGATGAAACTAACTGCGCCATCGGAAAGAGCACAAAAAAATATACAAAAAGGTATACTTTAAAAATGTTAGGAAATTAATCCTAAGCTTGAGTGTAAGTTCCAACTTGGTGATAAGCTTGTTTTTTGTTCTCTAACATCTGGTTTTCTTCTCGGTTGATGCTCCATCCTCCTTTTTTTTGACATTGTCAATCGCGGCCCTTTTATGCCTATCCCAGGTTTTATAAATAAACTCTTTTCCGTAACGTCGAGCTACGTAATGTTTGCGACACCTCTCATGCAATATAAAACCTGGTTCTTAAGAACTGAAACAATCATCCCCTCTCTCGTTGCTGACCATCTGAAGACCTTTTAATCCTGTCGGTCTAATTGGGGTAAGTTCACCCTCTGCAAGTTTCTGATGACATAATAAACACAGGCCAGCCATTGCAACCTGGAAACAAAAAAATTATAGCACTGTGATAGAATTTTTTTAATTTAAGAACGTACTTACTCAATAAATTGCTGAAGAAGTCCGAAAAACCAAGTGTACACAGAGCTTGCTGAACACGGTTATTAAAAATCTATGCCGATGAACACTATCAAACGATTCAATTTGTAACAATATGACCGTTTCAAATTTAAACTTGTCGGATAGCGAACGCCGAGACCATGGCTATCCTTGATACGACGTCCGGCTAATTTTGCGGTAATTCTATTTTTTGCACAAAACTCAAGAAACGTCTTATAACAAGTCAGTAAAATACAATTTAATAAATTTTAGGCCTAATAAATTTAGGTATGTAAGAAATTTAAAACTGGAAATCACAAAAAAAATCAAATTACAGAAATGCACGAGTTTTGGATCCCGCGGAGCGCGTGTAATGGGACTTTTGTCAGGAGAATTCTACAACTTAGAAGAAACATACACACTTTAAATTTTGTATACACATTCAGAAGACATGAGATTTGAGTTTGCTCAATTTTCAGACCAAAAAACTGAAAATCGTCAATTTTAGGCAACTTTTTTCAAAAACCGTGTTTTTTGGTCGTCACTCAATGAACAGTGGTCAAAAAAATAGATAAAATATTTTTGCAGAATTTTCCGTAATGTAATCGTATTCTAGACATAATAGAGTATTCAAAAAAAAAGTTTTGAGTCATTGGGTGCATTTTTGGCATTTTTGTGCCACTTCAAACTTTCAAAAAAAAATTTAGTGCTTTTTTAGGGAAAAAAAATTGATAAATTGTTTGATATCTTGGTCAATTATAATCTGATTTCGGTAAAATTCACACACATATAAGATTTCATACTTAAGAGTAAGCTCTGTAAGTGGCATTAAAAAAATTTAAATAGTTTGGCCGTTATAGGCAAACAATGAAATTAGGCTTGCGGTACACTTTGCCCTTCCGCCATATGCCCAATTTTGGGATTTCTCTTGCCCCCTTCTGGGAATCAATAGTCACATTCCTTTAGTTCAAAACGAATTTTGGATTTTTCAAATATCTTAATTTTTACCAAAGGTATGAAGAATTTAGTGTTTAGCCGAAAAGTAGGTTGTAGACCAAGGTAACGTTACAAATGTACATAGGAGATTTCACCGCGGCAATGACGAGTTTTTAATATGTCTTGTCAAAATTGATATTTTTTTTTTTAAATAAATATCCTCTAAATTAATATTTACGATTAATTCAAATATAAGTATTATAAAATGTATGCTATAAAAATATTATAATGCTTATTTTTATTTTACTATTTCAGGGCAAACACCATTTTTTGTTGTGGCGATTTTTCTTAGTATGATGAACAGTTGTAAGTATTATCCACTAATATTACAAAAGTATTATATAAAGTGGTGAATATTAAATAATAATAATAATTTTATAAACAAAAACAAAAAATATTTTCTACTCCTTCACTATTTTACATTTGAACATTATTTCATTTTTATTTAACACTAAATTCGATTCCTAACCTACAAAAATACTTTTAGCATTAGCAGCCACAATGCAAATGTCAACGGCAGTTTTAATATCAAAGCTACCTCATGAATACTTAATGTATTTCCTAATAGGACAAAACGGAGCTTTTATAAGTACGTTTTTACAAATTATATCTTTAGCACTAACGGATGATCAACCGACCTCAGGACTCTTGTATTTCTCATCGGGAGCAATTTTAATATTAATAACACTCGTCTTAACAATGTTGTCTAGAAAGACGAAAGTGTTTGAATACTATGAAATCGAAGCTGCAAAAGAACAACATTCTGAAATGATTAACTGGGCTGAAGCTAAGGAGGTCATAAAGAAAATGTGGCCTTGCCAAGCGGTACTCGGTTTGATGATTATGACCATTTCTACGATACATCCTTCAATTACCACCTTGGTAGTTTCCCAAAACGAAGCTAATCACACGGCATGGACCGGTGAGTCTGTATATTGAGTAATTTTATTTTTTTCTATCTACTATGATGATAATAAAAACTAAATCGTAAAATATTTTGGACAGTTGGTATAGTTGGGACAAACGGCATGTACTACTACAAGATTATGTCAAAGGAGTTTCCGAAATGAGTTACCAATCTAAATAGAACAATAAATCAACATGATCATTATTATAATAAATATATACAAAACTTTTTTGACCTGCAATATTTATTTGAAAATTTAACTAGGACCAGTCGAATTAACTGTTTCATCAGAGGAAAACGAATAAAAACACGAATAAAAAAACACCCTATATGTTATCTAGAATTTGAATTTTGCTCATTTTCTCTATTCCGGCAATACAGAGTTTTATCAGGTTCTACACCCTGTATTATTTAGAATCAACAATTGAGGGTTAATATCTCAAGGCCAGAATAATTTCGTAGTAGTCTAGTTTTGATGCAACTCATCATCTTTTTAAAAAATTTTATTTTGTATACAGGGTAACCCAAAACTTACGACCATGATTTTCTAGGTTATTTAAATACATTTTATTAGTAAATAAGTACACTTTTATTAGTATAATGATTATTTATACAGGCAACTTTGAAATTTTACATATAGAAAATAAGGGCATTAAACTAAACCATTTAGAAATACTTGAAATAAATAGATTTAAAAATTCAAATAACTTACTAAATGATCAATTATTAAATCTCTTTCCTAGTTTTCTGTGAGATAATCCCGGTAATGTTACTATCTTATTGTTATCTGATTGATAACTTAAGTACCCTTATTAACTTTAAATTGTCAGTTTAATTTGTTATGTTATTTATGTATTTTCTTAATTACTCTATTTTGTTAAATTACTTCGCATATATATATATTGGACACCAAATTGTAAATTAGTCACATTTGAAAAAGAATTGTGGTTTTCTTGTTTTAATCTGACAGGTTAAAACGACTAAACCTAAAATTCCTGAAGCAGAAGCGGATGATTAAAACTCACCAGGGGCTCTATTCTTCAAGTTGAACGATGTGAACATTCCACTGTGGGATGTGAAGTGTCCTATCACCAATTTGTTCTCTCGGTCATCGTATTCGGTATTCTAGAATCATTCACATCTGCACCGCTGCCAAATTTAAGTTGTGCGTTAGAACTATTTTAGAAGGCACTTTACTTCAATTTTTTATTATTTTTAAAAAATTATAATAACAGATTATATTTTCCATTGTTATCTATTAAATCCCGTGCCAAAGGTTTACTTATACGAACATTTTGTATGAATATTCGGTCACTAAAGTAAAAGAATCCTCTTTTTTTAAAAAAATTCTGTTTGGTCGATTGGCATCTTCTTCCGCTTCAGCTAGATCATGCAAAATATGAATATAAATAAGAGCTTCGTCCAAATCCATTTTAATTTTAAAAAGTGACGTTTTCATAGCGCACAACAATGACAGTTCTCCCAATGTTCTCCCGAAATGATGCTCTTCTACTGGTTTTGACTAAGAGAAGTACGTTCTCTCGATTTTCATGCGAAGTGATCATTCACTTCAATTCAAGAATACCACTCACACACTTTTTAAGAGAACGGCTGTCCAGTTCGCATGAAATAATCATTCTCTCAACTGGAGAATAGGCCCCCTGATATTTTGCTTGCTGCTGTCAGTGTCAGTGAATATTATTTTTGGAGTCACAGTTTATTGCTGAAGAATCAGTTAGCTCACTCGGACCAGTTGAAAGTTCCAAAATAACATCCACTCCAGGGATACAAATTCAAGATACGCAGAAGACTGTTTTATTATAGGCGGTTGTCATATATTGTATTATCCGAGTTGCGCAGTGTATAAACTGGAACATTGAGAACAAAAGTGCCGACGCAGAGTGAGCGATCTGATTCTTTAGCTATAAACTGTGGCATAGGAATCAAAAAGGTATTTTTCGCGGCATAAACGGATTATGTTGTTCGATCATGTTCGTCTATCCCCCCACCATATATAGTATATGTTGGCACCAAAATGGAAAAATCCATGCTGTTTTGAAAGTGGGCAGTGAGTTGAATTAACAATTTTTTATTACTTCAATTACTTATGTGTGTAAAACACGCGATTTTTCCTAAGAGTTTAATTATTTTATATTAATTATTAATGTACCTATTGTCTAAAAATTACAACAAATTCTATTTGTGCTATTTATATTTACAATCTTTAATTGTTGAATAATTTCGTATCTTTCCTCTACTTCAATTTCAGTCTTATTTAATTTAAATTTTAAAATTAAAACCATCTTTTACCTTTGATACCGTTTCTAGTCATTTGTCAAACACATGAATTAACATAACCGCCTGTGGATGAGATCATGTTTGAGTATGCTAAACAGTGACGTCATTACAACCTCCCCCCCGGTCCTTGATGTCGGCTAAAACGGAAGATCATGTCTAAATAACATAATCTACCATAAACGTTTATGTTAGTTTATGCCGCGAAAAATACCTTAAAATGACCGCGCCCCACATACTTTGATTACTATAGGTGGCAAGAGAAAGGTCCGACACGCCCAACATAGGGCGCGGCCATTTTGAACCATGTGACACAGTTTACAACTAAAGAATCAGATCGCTCACTCTGCGTCGGCACTTTGTATCTCAATGTTTCAGTTTATACACTGTGCAACTCGGATAATACAATATATGATAACCGCCTATAATAAAACAGCATTTGTATCCCTGGAGTGGATGTTATTTTGGATATTTCAACTGGTCCGAGTGAGCTAACTGATTCTTTAGCAATAAACTGTGACTTCAAAAATAATATTCACTGACACTGACAGCAGCAAGCAAAATATCAGGTGCGTTTTAATCATCCGCTTCTGCTTCCGGAATTGTCGGTTTAGTCGTTTTAACCTGTCAGATTAAAACAAGAAAATCGACAATTCCGAAGCAGAAGCGGATGATTAAAACGCACCTATTAAAAATATTAGGCATTCCAACGACCTGTCCAAATGGCTACCAGTGGGTAATGACAGTTTAGATATGGCAACCCTGTTGTCATGTCATTAACAGGGTCAATGATACATATATAGTTATATAGATTGCTCAAAGCTGGTCGTTTACGAGCGGCCATATTGCCTGGCAAATATTTATTAATTTGAATCGGTTTAGCAAAAATGTGTTTTAAAACCAATTTTTAGCCTTTAGATATTAAAAAAAAAAATAATTGCTTACATTTTTACTCCAAGGCATAAGCTTATGTTTATTTTGAAAAATATGGATGATCAATCTATGTAACTATCTATTTCATTGACCTTGTCAAATCACCAGACCTACAGGGTTGCCATAATTTTGCCATATCATAACCCGTCAGAACCCACTGGTAGTCATTCAGTTTGGAATGCCTAATTGCGCCAAGATGTAGGCAACACGTAATAAGGGTTCAAAATGGCGGAGTTTTCTATCTCCTTTTAAAAGGCACTCAGAAAGCTGCGCAGTATGACCATTCTCCGTACAGTAAAAGAAAATCAAAGTATGTGCCGCGCCCTATGTTGGGCGTGTCGGACCTCTCTCTTGCACCGTATAGTAATCAAAGTATGTGCATTCAAAATCCAAAATAACAACAACCTTGATAATTTCACTATAAAATTGTTCTAGACTCTAAAAACCGTCCAGCTTTGCTAACTTCAATTTTGACATTTTAATTTTAAATTTCGTTAACTGGGAATTTCCCTTATCAGTATATTTGTTTATTAGCGATACGAAGTTATATTCACCTAATATATCTAAATATGTAGAAACTAGGTCAGTTTGTAGTTTAATATTTATACTAAAGTCTCCTAAAATCAAGTGTTTAAAAACGTTTAAATTGTTTTTTGTTAGATAAAGTAATAATAATTTGTACCGCTTTACATAATCCTATTTCTACTATATTATATTCGTAATTTATATTACTTTTAATAAAAACTACAACTTCATCGTTACGATTGATATCTCCCTTATTGTAAATCATATTATAATCAAGAAACTGAAACAAACTTAAATCAGGAATATTTTGCGTTTCTGTAAGAACAATAAACTCAAATGTGTGATTCAACTGTATATGTAAATTATAAGTTTACACAATATGTACAGTTGCCTGCTCCCTATCATTCAAGATGAAAAAAAGTTTCCAAAACAGTTAAAATTTTATGGTTTTGATAATTTCAATTATTTTAGTTGAAATTTAATTTTAGTACTTGTCCACAATTATCTGTGATGTATAATAATAATAATCTTTATTCGGCATTTTTGATTTTTTTGATTACATCATATTTGTAGGTACATTTAAATAATTTTAAATTATTAGAGTAATTGACAGGTACCTTATACATTAAAAGTATTTGCTGCCCATTTATGACCATGTGGTTGCGCATGGGCTGCCGAATTACTAAAGTCACTTGTGTAACACTAACTGTTAACCCAAAATAATTTAAAACTATTTAATTTTAACAAACTTTCAGAATTTGTCAAAAATATTGTTTTATTATTAAAAATCAAAAAAACTCTATGACTATAACATTTAGGTAAAGGGAATGCTTAACAAAAGTAAAAGTATTTTGTAAGTAGTTTATGAAAATTATATCATTTGAAATAACCGAGAAAATTATGGTCGTGAGTTTTGCATTACCCTGTATACAAAATAAAAGGTATCAAAAACATGATGAGTTGCAACCTTAGATTATACAAACCTTAGATGGAACATAAGACACTGCGCATAATCCCATTTCGAAATTATTTACACCCACCAATCGCAGTTGAGAACATCACATGTCAGAGCGTTGTCCATCCAAATTTAATGTGTCAACGAGAATTAATTTGGTATTTTAGTGACTAAAATTTTGGAAATTAACGTTGAAAATGCCAAGATGTGTTGTAAAAAGCTTTATTTATAATAAACCTGCGAAATGTGACGGAGATAAATGAAACTTACATTTATTTCGGTGAGATATTTAATTTTTAAGGATTCT